CCCTGCCCCCCCAGACCCCTGGCGCCCAGGCTGCTCTTCAGCCACTCCTCTCCTAGTTTATACTTCTGTGCAGAATTACTCTGTCCTGGGTGGAGAACCCGGCATTTGCTGTTGTTAAATTTCATGCTCTTGGTGATTGCCCAGTGTTCCAGTCTATATAGCTTCCTGTGCAAGGCCTCATGTCCCCTGAGAGAGTCAACAGCACCTGCCAGTTTGGTGTCATCAGCAAACTTGCTAATGGTGCATTCAACTCCTGCATACAGATTGTTGATAAACATCTTGAACAGAACTGAGCCCTCAGGAACACCGCTGGTGACTGGTTGCCTGCAGAATACCTACCTGCAGAGAGCAGCCTGCTCTCTGGCCCCTTTTTATCCCCGATCCTCTTGTGACCTATATGTCTGCCTGCTTAATGGTTCCCCTGGTCCTTTGCCATGTGTGGAGGTCTGTTCACCAGCCCTCCAGGCTTTGGTCGCTCCAGGAGGCAAGTGGAAAGATCGGGCTCAAGGTGTGTATGCAGATTCCTAGGGCTGTCACTCTGGGGAAGGGGACAGAAGAGTCTGCACACAGCTTCCCGCTGGAGGATGAGTACACTCAGCGTGACGAACTGTTGGAAATCTGTTCTATGGAGTGTCTGGGAATGGAAGTTTAGTGAATAAACAAGGAGGGACTGAGGAAATGGTGCAGAATTTGTTACATCTGAAGCATTAGTGGAGGGGAGGAGGAACAAAGGCATCCATGGAGAGGATATGGGCTTAAAACAGCACAAACTTGCAGGGATGATGAGCCTAAGGACCTTCCCGGAGGTTGTGTCCTTGTCGGGGTTCAGCAAGTGCTTTGTGGTGTAAGATGAGTCTGTCTTATTTTGGCAGCTCGGAAACTGCAGCAGAAACGTACCCTTCTGTTGGAGGAAGAGACAGAAGAGGACGAGATGGTAAAGCAGGTGCCCGAGATGAGCACGCAGTCCAGTGTCATCATTGAAGGAGTTGAGTACAAGATTGAGAGACTAAATGGAAGGAGCATCCAGGCTCCAGCAACTCGGTAAGACAAGACTGGTCGCTCCATACTACCTGCATGTGTCAGAGGTGTCCCAGTATCAGTAATTTTCAGGGAAGAGGGCTGGGCAGTATTTCTGCAGCACAGAAACGGGTAGATTTTTCCAGCTCTTTAATTTCAGAAGAATAGCTCCTTCAGCTGTTCACTTGGGTATGTCGGGATGTTGATTTTTAGAGACAGCTAATTCAAGGTAAGCTCTGATGCTGAACCTAGCTTTGGAGTTTTTTAGGCTTTTGTTTCCTGGTTCTCCTGGACTTGTCCTTCAGGTTGCCTTGATGTTGTTTTTCTAATTCTTGCACATAGAACTGGGGAATGAGAAAAGGCTTCTCGTAAGACTTCAGGTAAAAATAAGGTGGCACTAGCATAAAGCTGAAGCTGTCCTTGTCTGACTCTTTCTTCTGAGTCTTTGGTACAGGCATTCTCTTCACAAACTCTTTATTGCCAGTCTTACAGTGGCTGAAAACAGAATCACAGGATGGTAGGGGTTGGAAGGGACCTCTGTGGGTCATCTAGTCCAACCCTCCTGCCGAAGCA